AAATTCTTAAAAATCAGTTAACCATCAGCATTGTGTGGCCACAAACAGAACTCTAAGCATCACTCACAGTGAATTATCATTGAATGGCCATGTGAAACTATATGGAAGCCTTCTGCACACTTATCACCATTTCTAGAAAAGAGTGACAAAAATATAATGTGTTTTCCCAATAATAGGCAAATAGCCATCAACTCTGCACTGAAGGATAAATTGTTCACTTTTATTTACTTTGGTCTGTAGTCCCAGAGTGCGGAAAAACAAAATGAGGTGAGTCATAAAGCGGAGGAGGTGTCCAGGTAGATTGCTTCTGCTTTTGGAAAGCCATTTGCTAAACTCATCCATTAAACCTACAAGCCATGAAAGCAAAGATTCAACAACAGAATTAAAATCAAGGGAGAAATAAACATTACCAAGAATATTTTATCTCACTAATAAAGTGCTATTAAGTCACTGTCTCATTGTTAGAAGCCATCATATAACTCTCTATATCCTCTTAAACAAGTAAAAAGTTGCATTAAAATAGGCGAATACTTAAAAACATTAAACGATGTCATGAATAGTATGCATTGTTTTGGCAACTTTTATACTATAAAAAGTGAAGAACTCAAAGTAAAATAAGATTATATCTTACCATCAATGTCTCCCAGGATAAGGAACTTTTGAACTATATGATAATGTTCTTGATTCTCTTCCAGAACTCTCTGAAAAATTTTTTTACATTTTCCATTAATCTTCTAATGGTCATTTTTGAGTATGTATTGTTAAAACTAAAAATGTCAAACTTTTGAAGGAATGCATATAAAGTTGGAAATGAAGGGCCTCCAGAAGATCAAAATAAAACAAAACATGGGAAAGATACTCCCTTTGGAATATATTCACAGCTTACAAGTCTAGAACTGAACAACACCTTTTAAGGTAGAGAACTATGACATAACAATTTAATCTTTGGGAATATTATTATGATTGTTCTTAATATTTTATTCCTGTTTACCTTGGCACTTCATGTGAATCAGAAAGAAAGGACACATGTGACTTAAGCAAAATAAACTACAAGATTTCTTTCACTATGAGTAGTAGTATTTAAAACCATTATTTAGGTATTTTCTTGTGCACATGTCATCAAGACTAATGACAAAATAATGATCAGGTACAATATGTTACATACTTATATGCTACATGCAGCTTGGCTTTTTGAAAATGGGTCATTTACTTTTGTCAAACATATTTTAATTTTTACTTGGCAGTCAATTTTTCTTTCAGCATTGGTTCTTTTTTTTTTTTTTTTTTAACGTCCACAACCTTTGCTCTATCAGAATTTATTTTGATTACATGGCATGAGGTAGAAATCTAGCTTTGTTTTCTTTCAGACGGAAAGTCAACTATACCAAGACCATTTACCTTAAATAAACTATTCTATTCCCTCTGAAACAAAAGGTCACCTATAACATTAAGTTCACATAACTACTTGATTCTAATTTGCACTTGGTGTTCCACTGATCTATTTGTTTCCCAAGTTAATTCTATATTATTTTGTTGTGTCATATATTCAGTCAGACAAGTAACATAACAACTGTTCATTTTCAAAATCTTCTGCCATTCTCACTTATCCCACTCAGGAAACTTCTGTGCAGAAATAATCTCTAAAGCATTAGGTTTATATGTTTATTTTAGAATGACTGACATTTACATCAGTCCTCCTATCCAAGAATGTGTTTTATCTCTTTATTCATGTCTTATTTTGTCTTCCAATAAGATTGTGTGTTTTTCTTTATGTAGGTCTTGAAATCCTTGATTGCTTTTATTCCTAGATACCTTTGGTTTTGGTCATTAATTTAAGTGGGACTTTTGGAGGATGGGGAGCTGTATTCTATTCTAACTAGTTATAACAAGTACAGAATAGCTATGTTTTTTGGTAACATGGTCTTATATTTAGCTATCTTAAAAAACTATTTTATTAATTCTAGTAACTTTTCAGTCTTAAGTTGATAGACTCACATATCATATGTAAATTGCTCACTACCTTTCTGATATTTATATCTATTTCTTGATTTATCTTATTAGCTATAATCTCCAAAACAATAGACCAGTAATAAACACTTGCCAGAAAAAAACATGAATTTCCTTACAATACGAAGTATACCCATACAATAATAAGGAAAAATTAAATCCCAACCGAAAAACAGCTAAAAGATATAGACAAGAAATTCACAGTACATATATGGAAACATGTTCAGTCATGACAGACAAGAAAATATAACTAGAACAGTGAACCCCTATTCCTCACCTACTCTAATAGATTGGCAAAAAACAAAAGGTATGACATTTGGGACTGGTAAAAATACATAATTTAATAAATTACTTGCACAAAAATAAATAAATAACTTGTAGGAGTATAAACTAATTGCTATAATCTGGTAATTAATTATTTTCCATTAAATATTTTCTTTTTATTTTTATTGAATGCATTTAAGGTGTACAACATTATTATTATTAATCATTAATTACTAATTTAGAAACACTGTATATATGTATGTACATGTATAAGGAGTATATTTATACACTTTAACCCAGCAACCCTGCTTTTAGGGAAATTATCCCAAAGAAATAGGACTAGTAGATAAGTTCACACATGTATACAAAGTCACACACATATGAACATTCATTATAGCACTAGAAATTCTACAACCTAAATATCACCCAAAGGGGAATGATTAAAAAAATTATACATCATTCTTCAGAATAGTATGTACCTATTAAAGAGAATGAAAGGGCTAGGGGTGTAGCTCAGTGGTAGAACACTTGCCTAAAATCATTCTTTTTTTTTTTTTTTTTTTAATTCTTTTAGTTGTAGATGGACACAATACCTTTATTTTATTTATTTTTATGAGGTGCTGAGGATCGAACCCAGTGCCTCTCACATGTGCTAGGCAAGCGCCCTACCACTGAGTCACAACCCCAGCCCCACTGCCTAGCATTGTTGATGTCCTGGGTTTGAGCCCCAGAGGGAGGGGAGGGAGGAAGACAGGGAAAGACTTTAAGAGAGAGAGAAAAACACACAAAGGAAGAAAGAAAAGAAAATGGGAGAAAAAAAAATCGATAACTAACTTAAGAGAGATTACCATTACATGGAAAAAAAAAATTGTAGAGTAATGCAATATAAATAAAATCCCAAAATACTATATTGGAATACCTGCATTATTTACACATATTTGAAAGATCAGGGATTACTAGTTATTTTTAAATATTAGATTTTTGGGGATCTAGGAAAAGAAAGCGTTATTAGTTCTCCATTGTGTATTTCAAGTTTTGAAAAAAGGTGATAAATGTAGCTTCTATGCGTATATTTGGATGAAACCAACCCTAAACCAAAGAAATGATGTATTCACTCACATAGTTAAGCTTGTCCCTTTTAAAGAATCTTCTCTTATTTAGATAACAGGTAAGGAAAAGAAGGGAAAGAAGAACAAAGCTTCACATATTTTCTTCCTTTTAGCTATAGTGCACAACAATATAACATCTTCTATTCCACATTTGCTATCAAGTTCATATTAACATTTACCTTTTTATCAGTAGCTTGAAGTTCTTCAAAAACCTTTTCTAAGGTCCAACTTCAAAAGAAGAAAAAGACAAGAGATAGAATAACATTAGTAATATGAAAAAATTCCATAAAATAAAACTTACCATGATTAGAAACTAACCACACTCACTTTGCTTCTAAATATTCTCTAGGGAGTTCTTCAGTTATATCCAGTGTCATTACTGATGTCCGGATCTCCTGTTCCACCAGACTGTCTACCATCACTCGGAAGTAGGCCCATACTGTGTCTTCCCAGGTATCACAGACAGGAAGAAGCTTTTTTCCGCCATTCCAAAAGAGAAACACACAGAAATATTTGATGACAACAACAACCAAAAAGAAAAGCAATTACACCATTAATATGGACTAGAAATAGCCACTGTATGATATAAAACATTGTGAATTTTAAAAAAAAATTATCCTAAAGATCCTTTCTCTACCAAACTATAGTCTGAACTTCTAAGACTTTTTGCATACCAAATTCACAGTAGCATCAATTTTGCATGCTTATATAAGATGATATTTCAATTGATTATTATACCATCCCTCAAAATAGCTGTAGATGGGGTTATGAAAAACACACACAAATATGTAGGAGAAACCAAATAGTCACTGCGCTTTAGTTGTACATTTCTGGATATAGCTTTGGGTATTAGAAGTCATCAATATATGTGTTGCAGCTGACAATTATTAGTTATAAATTATAGTTTGATTTCACTCATTAAAATATTGTGCATGTTATGGGGTACATCAAATTAAGTAATACAAGTAACTATTCTATTTTATGATTATCTCTATCATTGCTGCTTTTAGAAAGCAGCTTAAGTTTAGAAGGTTTGTTATATATAATTATTAGTATCTGGATTTATTCTATAGAAAAAATTAAATATCAAAGAATTGCATACCTGCTTGAGATTCCCACTTAAAGCTGCATAAATTGCTCTCTCATATTTATTGAAGAGCTCCTAAAATACAGAAAAGAAATGGGAGAAAAAGAAATTTGAGATACTGTTTTTCTTAGTATGTTAGTTTTTCTCATTACCTGGAGTTTTGCAATTTCTTTTAGACTGAACTTATTTACTTGATGGTTTCTAAATTTTAGTGAAAGACTGAGTAGTATAATTAAGAAGGAATGACGTCTTAGTTTGTTGAAATAATACTGAAATCTTCAGGGGGAAAAAGTCAAACATTTAAATTTCAAATACAGGGTGAAAGCAGAGCCAATTCTACTGGATGTTTTGGTTATTTATAAACAAATTTTCTTCTGTAGAACCTGGGTGGGTGTTTTCTCCTAGAATGTTTCTAAGTACCTGATACTTCCCTGATGCTGATCTAGGAATGATATCAAACAAAGCATGCAGTTTGCATCTAATTCCTAAGTGGAATTAACTATATTCATCAGATTATCCCATTATGTTTTTAGATTACAGTTAATGGCAGTTCCAGTTTTCTTGCCATTCAAACAAGAGATTCTTCAGAGGCTGTTACTAAACAGGTGAGTCCACCTGTTTCTATTCAATGGTCCTGAACAGGTACGTTCCCTTCGTTTCCTTTCCCATCCATACTATCTTAGGACAGCCTTTATTACTTAGAGGGTAAATAATTCTGATCCTTTAGTCTTTTCAATTTGAAGTCTATTTTCCACAGCCATGTTACTCTTTTTTTTTTTTTTTTTGTACTGGGGATTGAACCCAGGGTCACTTAGTCTCTGAGCCACATCCCCAGTCCTTTTTTTATGTTTTATTTGAAAAGGATCTTGCTAAGTCCTTAAGACCTCACCAAGTTGCTAAGGTTGGTTGTGAACTTGCAATCTTCCTGCCTCAGCCTCCCGAGTTCCTGGGATTACAGACATGTGCCACCACTCCTGGCTTGCCAAATTTAATCTTAAAACACAGCTATCAGTGCTCTCAAAGTTCTGTAACCCTTCTATTCTACAAGCAAATTTCAGGTCTTTTCAGAATGAAGTTCCAAACTGATGGTAGTATTAATTTCTTAACCATTTAACAGATGTAAACTATGCTAACATTTTATTGATTTTTTATCTTTTTATGTTTCACAGATGCAGTTTAAAAAAAATTATCTATTTATTTATTCTAATCAGTTATACATGACAGTAGAAAGCTCTTTCTTTTCTACCCCTTTGCCCCTACCCCATCCCCTTTGCCCCATTCAAAGTTCCTCCACTAATCCCATGCTAATCCATCGCAATATGGATTAGCATCCACTTATCATAGAATACATTTGGCTCTTGTTTGAGATTGGCTTATTTCATTTAGCATGATAGTCTCCAACTCCATTCATTTACCTGCAAATGCCATAATTTTATTCTCTTTTAATGCTAAGTAATATTCCGTTGTGTGTATGTACCACAGTTTCTTTATCCACTCATTTGCTGAAGGGCATCTAGGTTGCTTCCAGTTTAGCAATTGTGATTGGTGCTGCTATAAACACTGTAGTTGCTGCATTACTATAGTTATGTTGTTTTTATGTCTTTAGGGTGTAGACCAAGCTGAGTCAAATGGTGGTTCCATTCCCAGTTTTCTAAGGAATCTCCATACTGCTTTCCAGATTGGTTGTACCAATTTGCAGTCCCACTATCAATGTCTGAGTGTGCCTTTTCCCCCACATCCTCACCAACACTTACTATTGCTTCACAAATGCTGTTTTAAAGTATTGTTCTTTTAACTCCATTTGCCCATAAGCCCTGTGGGTTTCTGCACAATTTTGCATGTTGTAGTGATTTTGTGGAATGCATATGCCATGTCCTAACAGAACTGACTATATTTCCTTTTCTAAGCCTTCTACTCCAATCTAGTAGACCTACCATTCCTTGAGTTTCCCAACTTATGCATCCTACCTAGAATTCTTTCCTCTTGTTTTCATTCCCAACAACCCAAATCCTACTGATGTTAAATAGTTCAATTCAGGACTGGGGATATATCTCAGTGGTAGAACATTTGCCAACAAGTATTAAGACCCTGAGATTGATCAATACAACAATACACACATACACAAAAAAGTTCAATTAAATTGCCTCTCCTAAAAAGCCAAATTTAAGATTCAGCCCAATGTTTTTTTCCTCTAAATTCATTTGGTATCCTTGTATTTGTGTTATAACAGTGTTTTGTTCTTAGTACATGGTATGTGATAAATATGTAAGCCTATTCCTCAAAGTTAGTAGAACGTATTTGAAAATAGGAACTTAGTCCAATGCTACTCAGAATGTTTACTTAATAAAACTGAAGCAAAAATCAGTGTCAGTGAATATTTTATCTTACATCTTCTGCCATTCTCCAACAACTAATTTTCCAAATGCGTCTATATGGATTCCCTTCAACAGGTTCTAATTCTGTTCCTATAAAACAGTAAAAGAAATATAATTTGTAGTTTAAAATAAGATCTTATTTCAATAATTTCTAAAAAGAAAATCAGTAGTTCACAAAGATTGGTATTTAGAGCTAAATACATTTATCCCCAACTCTCAGAATAGAATCTACTAACATACCTCCATTAACATTAGGGTCATGATACAATTTCCAGCCTTCCAGTGTTGCAGCTCTCCATGCTTGACCACAACGTTTACAGAGTCGTTGTGCCTTTAGGAACAAGAAAGAGCAGTTGATGGACATCAGTAGTATAGTACTTTACCTTATAGATGTATAACCAATATACGACAATATATTAATGGCATAAATGTTATAGATGATTTTTAAGAAATAAGTAATGGCACTTCACTTTACCAACATGTGTATCTTTTTATTTTCTCTTCCTTTGTTTTGGTTTTTATAGTACTTGCCTTTCTCTTTGATTTTAGGCTTGTCAATATGTTCCCATGGCACCCATTGGCATTTAATTCTACTAGAAACAAATGGGACTAAAAAGCTGATGTCCCTTAATTCATGTAAAATTATTACAAAAAAAAAAGGGGCTGGGGTTGTAGCTTAGTGGTTGAGTGCTTGCTTCTCATGTGTGAGGTACTAGGTTTGATCCTCAGCACCACATAAAATACATAAATAAAACGAAGATATTAAAAAAAAAAAAGAAGAAAAAAAGTATTACAAAAATACTGCTAGTCTCTATAATGATAAGAATGCTGTTGTTCATTTAGTTCACTGATGATATTTCTCAGGTTCAACAAAATCAAGAATAAATTTGAGGGGCTGGGGATGTGGCTCAAGCGGTAGCTCTCTGGCTTGGCATTCGAGCGGCCCAGGTTCGATCCTCAGCACCACATACAAACAAAGATGTTGTGTCTGTGGAAAACTAAAAAAAAATAAAAAAATAAAAAAAAAAGAAAGAATAAATTTGAGAGCCAACATAACCTAAATAGCGTCACCTTGGGTTAGATTTATTTTGAACTCTTAAAAATCAGAAGTAGAGTTGGGCGTAGAGGCGCACACTCGAAATCCCAGCGACTCGGAAGGCTGAAGCAGGAGGACTGAGTTTAAAGCCAGACTCAGCAACTTAGCTAGGCCCTAAGCAACTTAGCGAGACCCTATCTCAAAAGAAAAATAAGGGCTGAGGCTGTAACTCAGTGGCAGAGCACTTGCCTAGCTTGTATGAGGCACTGGGTTCGATCCTTAGCACTACATAAAAATAAATAAAATAAAGGCATGCCATCCATCTACAACTACAAAAAATTTTAAAAAATAAATACATAACAATGAAAAGTGGGTGGGGATATACTTCATGGTTAAGTGCTCCTGGGTTCAATCCCTGGTACCAAAAAAATTTAGATGTAGAAGCCAGGCATAGTGGCAGATGCCTATAATCCCAGCAGGTTGGGAGGCAAAGGCAGGAGGACTGCAAATTCAAGGCTCAAGGTCAGCCTCAAAAATTAGCAAGACCCTGTCTCAAAATTTAAAAAAAATTTAAAAAAGGATGGGATGTGGCTCAGTGGTCAAGCACCCTTAGGTTCAATCTCTAGTACAAAAAAAAAAAAAGAGCAAGCAGGGTATTACATGATTTACCTCTTCTGTCATTCCAGCCCGAATTAGAGTGAAAAGATACTTGAGTAATCTAACTTCATCTTCTCTATCCAGATCATCAAGTGGCATTTTCTGTCTTATGGGAGCATCAGGATCCTGTAAAAATACAAATCATCATCAACTACAGATCATTCATTCATTCATTTATTTTTGAGGTGTTGGGGATCAAACCCAAGGTACTATACATGCTAGGCAAGCGCTCTACCACTGAGTTATACCCCTAACCTATACCTACATACTTTACAAACATCATAATGAGACAATAAATGTATCCTGAGTTTATATACTGAATTTAATTCTTTTATAGTCTAGTTAAATACTAAGGAAAATAAAAGTGTCACAAGAGTTCAAAATAGTCACACAATAGTCTGAGCCTCACTTAAAACAATCCTGGGCTGGGCACAATGGTGCACACTGTAATCCAGGCAGCCTGGGAGGCTGAGGCAGGAGAATGGCAAATTTGAGGCCAGACTCAGCAACTTAGCAAGGCCCTAAGCAACTAAGTGAGTCTCAGTCTCTTGTCTTAAAAAATAAAAAGCTTTGGGGATGTAGCTCAGTGTGTTAAAGTGTCTTTGGATTCAATCCCCAGTACCCAAACAAACAAACAAAAAATAATCTTGGCTTACAATTACAAGTAAGTGTACATGTTTAGATCAGTTAGTTTAGGAAGACTACTAGCATAGCCCAACTTAGCCTAGGTTAACACTGGATGACATTGGATGTTAACAGAGCTTCATTCTATCATTGCACTTACATAGCCAAGGTACTTAGAACACAGGAAAAACTGAAGGAATCTACCCTGTCACTAGTGTTTATTGGCACTTTCTGAGAACATGAAAAGAGAATCTGTTAAGTACCCATTTTAGGATTAATGTCATGTAGAACACAACAATGTCCAATTAAAAATAAATTAGGTTTCTAATAGGTTAACATCCCCTAAAATGGTTATTCCTATTTACTACCTTTTGTATGCCTTTAAACATTGAGTATAATATATTGAACTCATTTTAGCAGCAAACACCACATTATCTACATGGTGAATGTGGGAGGCCATCCTCGCACGTGATTTGAGTTACCTTCCTGGCTGGGTGAGAGGCGCTTAGACGCAACTGTGTCAGAGCCTTCCCCACCCTGTCCCAGGTACGAAGGCTTGTCCGTGTGGAGGCGTGCCTGGCCACTGACCCGAAGAAGACCCAATAGCTGGCCCTGACCTTGGGATGCTGCCCCCTTCAAACTTCATTGGATGGGATTTTCCCTTGAATTTTTTTGTTCCCCAATAAAAGCTCACTCCCTGGTGTGCTCTCTCTTTCTCACTAGCCTTTTCTGTAATCCTTGCCACCACATTAGGTGGCTGGAGGCGGGAGCTAGGAGAAGCCGTCTCCGGAGCTGGGAATTAAAGGTAATGAGAGTATGTCTCTTTAATTTTAAAACTCACTAGTAAATTTCTATGCTTCAAACCTTCTTTTATGAAGCTCGCGCGCTGGTCGCGCGGCAGAGTGAATTTCAAACAAAAACATAGTTTAATGTGACCTGAAATAATTCTTATTTTAAATGTTACTAGTGTATTGTACTATGAAGATCAATTCAGAAAATGGAATCCATAATAGGTCAATTCACAAATATTTTGAGGACACAATCATTCAATTTTGGATCACGGTCTCTCTCTAGCAAAAGGAAATCACCACTTTCTAGTTATGAAGAGTAAATGAGCCAGTAAAATAAGCCAGTGGTACATGCCTGTAATCCCAGTGGCTCAGGAGGCTAAGCCAGAAGAACTGGAAGTTCAAAGCCAGCCTCTGAACTTAGTGAGACCCTAAGCAACTCAGTGAAACCCTGTCTAAATATAATACAAAAAAAGGGCTGAGGATGTGGCTCAGTGGTTAAGCACCCCAAAGTTCAATCCCTCTACCAAAAAAAAAAGAAAATAATAAATGATTTTCAGCTGTTGCTTGCTGCAAAGTAACTTAGTAACAATTTATTGTTTGGGTAATTTCTAGACAATTTCCTCAAAACCCACCTCTGTTACCAAACAGAATTTTATAAATTTTTCCAACTACTGGTTATTTCTCTCACTTATCATATAAACATTTCACATATCATTGTCATCCACAAAGCTCTATTTTTTTTTTTTTTTGGTTGTTGATGGACCTTTATTTTACTCATTTATTTATATGTGGTGCTGAGAGTCAAACCCAGGGCTTCACACAAGGCAAGTGCTCTACCACTAAGCCACAACACCAGCCCAATAAAGCTCTATTTCTGAAATAGTTCAGCTCCTGTTCTTTCCAAATCCACTGTTATTTCTATCACTCATATCCTAAAATAATCTTTCTAACCTCAAGCTAATGTTCAAGGATTTGTTCTTTCCCCCTACTTTCTATAGAGAAGAGCCACTTCCTCCCAACAAGAGCCTCTTCTTAGTTGAAGTGTCAAACTGGTAAGATCAAAATTAATTTGTTTCTAATACGGGGTATATCAGGTATTATCAGGTACACTTTCTGTATCTTCTTTTACAATTTACAGGCCTGCATATGTTCAAATATATTCCATCAAATTAAAATGAAACTTAGTTATTTCAGAGTAAAATGTTAGTGCATACAAGCCTTCTGGAGACTAAAACAAGGGTCCAGGAGAAAATTTTCAGCTCTTAAAATTTTTAAAATTATCACTAAAGACATCCTTCATTTCAAGAATACATACCAGGGCTGGGGAAATAGCTCAGTGGGTTGAGTGTCTGCCTCACATGCAAAGCACAAAGTCCTGGGTTCAATCCACACACCAAAAAAAGAATACATACCAATTCAGTGACAAGTGGACGGACACTTCCCATGTAAGAAGCTAGCTGTCGTTGTTTTAAGGTATGGAGAGTATTTTCCCTGAAAGGAAAAAAAAAATATTTTTAAAGAGGCCATTTAAAATAGGCCTACTTCTTTTGGTACTGGGGATTGAACTCAGGGGTACTCGACCACCATGCCTAGCCCTATTTTGTATTTTTTTTAGAGACAGGATCTCACTGAGTTGCTTAGTGCCTTGATTTGCTGAGGCTGGCTTTGATCTCACGATCCTCCTCCCTCAGCTTCCTGAGCCACTGGGATTACAAGTATGCGTCAGCTTAAAATAGGCTATATCTTAAAAAAAAAAAAAAAAATCAAATCAAGTCAAAGTAATAAGACTATATAAACCTAGGGGAAAAACGTGCAAGAGGCAGTTTGACTCAGATGACTAATGATGTTGAACACTTTTTCATTCACCTGTTTTTTGTTTTCCTTTTTTTTTTGTCACTGGGAGATTGAACCAAGATGCTTTACTACCAGGCCACATCCCTAGCCTATGTTTTATTTTGAGTCAGTTATCACTAAGTTGTTTAGAGCCTCACTTAGTTGCTGAAGCTGGCCTTGTGAACTCGTGATCCTCCAGCCTCAGCCTCCCAAATTGCTAGGATTATAGGTGTGTGTCAACATACCCAGCACTGATCTGTTTTTATGAGGTGCTTTTTACATTTCTGCCCTTTTTACTGGATTATCATTTTTTTTTTTTTTATTATTAAATGGGGCTGGGGATTGATCCAGGGCCTTATGCATGCAAGGCAAGCACTCTACCAATTGAGCTATATCCCCAGCCTGGGGTTATCCTTTTTAATAGGGTTGTATTCTTCTTGAACTAATGCTCTATATGTTTCTACTAGTCTGTGTCTTGTTCCCACTTATTTTCTTAATGGTGTCTTTAAGTGAGATTCTTTTAACTTTGATGAAGTCATTTTTTCCCCCTGATAACTGCTTTCTGTGACATAGAAAACATTTGCCTGTCCTCAAGTCACAAAGATATCTTCTTATGTTTCTATTTAAAGCATATGGGTTTAGTTTCTACATTTAGGATGATGATGCATTTTACATTAATTGTTGGATATAATTCGAGGAAACTTTTTTACAGATGTTTTTCTGCAGTTTGTTGAAAAGAGATTCCATTCCCACTGGATTGCTTTGATGCTTTAGCTAAAACCAAATCATCACTGGGTATGGTGGTGCATATAATCCCAACTATTCAGGAAGCTGGGGCAGGAGGATTACAAGTCTGAGGACAGCCTGGGGGAATTTAGCAAGATCCTGTCTCAGAAAAATAAAAAAAAGCTCATTAATAGAATGCTCCTAAATTCAATTTCCAGTATTACAAACAAACAAACAAACAAAACCAAACACATAAGTGGGGATCTGTATTACTGATCTATATCACTGATCATTTTTTAGAAAAGACTAGCTCATGAAAAAGTCACAAAAATCTTATCAGGAAAATTTAATCAAGAAAATTTTTTTTTCCTGAAAATGAAACTTTCTCTTCCTTTCAGAAAAATCACTACTCAGGATTTAATTTTTAACAAACACTGAGTAGTTCTAATTTCCTAGTTAAGCAAAGAAAAGAGCTATAGACTCTATATAAACATATTACTGAATTCAAGGGCAATCTAAATATTTTTAAGTACTGAAATAAATTGTTCTTTTAACCTAGGGGTGTTTTTGGCTTCAAGGTGCTATAATAATTTAGAAGCACTGAAAATTTTAAAAAACAAAATATAAGTGGAAAACAAAGCAGAAGTGTCTTCCTGATGATCAAAATATGATTATTTTTAAAAAGCAGCAAGGTGATTATTTGAACACATAAGTTGGATCATGTCATTCTTTTATTCTCAAGGTCTTCCATTACATTTAGAATAAAGCCTAAAATCTTTATATTGGCCTAAGTGTAAGTCTCATCTGAGCTGGCTCTCTCCAATCTCATTTCCTTTTCTGTTCACAGTGGCCTAACTGTGCAAATACTTTTCCTTTTCAGGATCTTTGAGGTTTCTATTCTACCTCAGAACGTTTGTCATGCCAACTTTTGCACAACTTGCCTCCTTTCTTTTCTTTCTTCTTATTTTTTTGGTGATACTGGGGATTGAATCCAGAACCCCATGTATCCTAGGCAAGTACTCTATCATTGAGCTATATCCCGCCTTTTTTTGTGTGTGTGGCAGGATCTCATTAAATTGCCCAGGCTGGCCTCACACTTGTGATCCTTCTTTCTCAGCCTCCCAAGTAACTGGGACTCACGGGCATGTACCAATGCTCCCAGTCTCCTTTATTCCTTTAAAAGTCTCTTACTATCTTTTCTGTTTCTTCCCCAGGGGTAGTGGGAGTACTGGCGATTGAACCCAGGAATGCTTTACCACTCAGTTACATTTAAGGCTGGCCTCAAAACTTGCAAAACTCCTGCATTAGTCTCCCAAATCACTAGGATTACAGGTATGTGCCATTGTGCTCAGCTCTTACTATCTTTCACATTAGTAAACCTTTCCCTGACCACCTCTTCCACTTAAAATAAGACTCATTGCCATCCTCCATTAATTAACTAATTTACTTTTCTCCCAAAGTTCTTAACTCTCCAACAGGACATATATTTATTTGCTGTTTAACTCTCTTAAACAATTATAAACTGCATAAAGACAGAGCTTTATCTGTTTTGCTCACAATTTAAACCAAGTAAAAACTGAATAAACATTTACTGAAAGATAAGTAAACAAAATAAACATTAAGTGAGTTCAGAAACAAAAGCTCAGTGACTTACCAATATACTGATTTTGCATAAAACTCAATATTATCAGAAAAATCTCCAATTTCATCTTTGGCAATACTCTCCAACCAATCTACCACCAGCTAAGAAAAAAAAAATATTAGTAATAATTATAAAATCTGGTGTTTCATTTGTAGTGGAACTCCTACCCTTCATTTAAGTAATTTCTGATTTTAAAAATGTCAAGTAACAATTTTTCCAAACACTATTCTACTTCTTTGTTTTTTTTAAAGAGAGAGAGAGAGAGAGAGAGAATTTTTTAAATATTTATTTTTCAGTTTTCAGCAGACACAACATCTTTATTTTTATTTTATGTGGTGCTGAGGATTGAACCCAGCGCCCCATGCCAGGCGAGCGCATTACCACTTGGGAGCCACATCCCCAGCCCACTATTCTACTTCTTTAAGACAAACAAATATTTTAAGAAAAGAATAAAATATTCCATAGGAACAATACAGTTTTTTAACAGGCTATTCCTGGAAACAGGATTGTTATTTTATGCAAAACATTGTTATTTAAAAATTAAAGAACAACTTTCCAAATTTCTTTGAATTACCAATAAAAGGATCAAGTAGAAAGAAAAGGTTTTACATTTTAAAAACTTCAGTTTTAAATTGTATGTCATTTACATTTTCTCTATTTATTTAGAAACAAAATTTAAAATTTCTAGACATACCTGACTTTGTCGAACAAGTGAATCTCTCTGAAATAAAGCTTCTACAACTGTTTTCTCACTGGCATTAATAGCCTATTACAAGTACATAAAAAAAGAAAAGAAGATGCTGTAAGAATATTATTTCAACAGAAAAATAAAAGCCAACCAGAAGTAAGTATATTTAATCACCCACACATCTTACTATATAGTCAGTATGCAAATTCATCTTTTTTTTTTCTTTTTGGTAGTGCTAGGGATTGAATACAGAGCCTTGCATGTACTAGGTAACCACTCAACCACAGAACTACACACCCAGTCCTGTATATTCATCTTTGAAAAATATCTATAAGTAAATTTCAACCTGATTAGATTAATTTGTAGCTGCTCTTGCCTGATATTTCAATTTATTACAATTAGAATGTAAAAGTTCTATTTCCCCAATGTGTTGCTTCAGTGAAAAATAAGCAAAATAAAATAGTTAAAAAAAATGAACTTTAAAAATCTTTTTTTTTTTTTTTTTTTTAAAGAGAGGGAGAGGGAGAGGGAGAGAGAGAGACAGAGAGAGAGAGAGAATCTTTTAATATTTATTTTTTAGTTTTCGGCGGACACAACATCTTTGTTTGTATGTGGTGCTGACGATCGAACCCGGGCGGCACACATGCCAGGCAAGCGCGCTACCGCTTGAGCCACATCCCCAGCCCAACTTTAAAAATCTTTTCATTAACATGGCAGAAGATAGTAAGTAGTAAAACCTAAATGTAATCCAAGGCTTTTAAGACTGACTTGAAATGACAACATTACAGAAATAGAAGCAAAGTAACCATAAACAGTATATGAAAAGGATAATATATTGTGACTAGTTCAAGCATGAGTCATATCTAGTAATCTATTTTATTTATGGGTTAAAAGAGAAAAGCTGGGCTGGGGTTGTGGTTCAGAGGAAGAGCGCTCGCCTAGCCTGCATGAGGCACTGGGTAGGTTCCATACTCAGCATCACATAAAAATAAAATAAAGGTATTGTGACCACCTACAACTAAAAAAAATAAATGTTAAATAAAAAGAGAAAAGCTATATTAACTTCTATTTTATTTCTTTTAAACAGTTCTGGCCACTAAACCCAAGGCCTCACATGTGGTAGACAACCAATCCACCACTGAACTGTATCTTCAGCCTACATGAACTTATTGATCAATGCCAAAATATCATTTGATTAAAAAAACAAAACAAAACAAAAAAAAAACTTCAAGTTGGACATGGTGGCAAATGCCTGTAATCCCAGCTACTAAGAAGGCTGAGGCATGAGAATCCTAAGTCCCAGGCTGGGTAACTTAGTGAGAATCTGTCTCAAAATAAAAAATAAAAAGGGGGGCTGAGGTTGTGACTCAGCAGTACGGCGCTCACCTAGCATGTGTGAGGCCCTGAGTTTGATCCTCAGCACCACATAAAAATAAGTAAATAAAATAAAGATTAAAAAAATAAAAATAAAAAGGGATAGGGGTATAGCTCAGTGGGAGGGCGCCTGACTAGAAAGTACAAGGCCCTGGATTCAATGCCTAGCAACACACAAACATGCAAACAATTCACAAATTAGAAGAATAGTGTAACTATCTGATTAAAACCTCTAGCAAGTACTATTTCTAACTGTAAAGTGAGACAATTCCTTTAAAATGCAGCAGACTAAAAGAAGAATCTCTATTATTCAACTTTACCTAAAAAATTCTAGCTACCACAATAAAATCAGAAAAAGAACTATATACTAATAAATATGGGAAAAAGAATCAAAGCCATTATTATGTATAGATAACAGAATTGCCTACTTGAAAAAATCAAATCCAAGGGGGGGGGCGGGGTTGTGGCTCAGCAGTAGAGCACTTGCCTAGCACATGCGAGGCCCTGGGTTCAATCCTCAGTACCACATAAAAACAAACAAACTAAAGGTATTGTGTACACCTAAAAAATAAATATAAAAACAGTCACTAGGAAAGTATGAGAACTAATAAGTGAGTTCAATGAGTATGCAAATATAAGTACCTTCCTTAAATGTGTATGTTACTTTTTTGGTATTTGTGGAATAAATAATTAAGAGATTGGAAAGATACTAAAAATATTTTAGGTTAAAAAGCAGACTAATAGACATAGACAGCTTAAGTTATTTATTTTAAAAATACATATTATTCTCTTTTCCTTATATACTTCCTTCAAACATTAATTACTTTTTTTTTTTTTGCGGGGGTAGGGGTAGGGGAGTGTACTGGGGATTGAACTCAGGGGCATTCTGCCATTCAGCCCCATCCCTAGCCCTATTTTGTATTTTATTAAGAGACAGGGTCTCATGGTCTCACTGAATTGCTTAGCACCTTGCTTTTGCTGAGGCTGGTTTTGAACTTGAGATCCTCCTACCTCAGTCTCTGGAGCTGCTGGGATTATTGGTGTGCACCACTGTGCTAGGCTCAATTACTTTTTAAATCAAAAGATAAATAATTAAACCCTCAGAAGGCATCTGGTCTCAATGTTTTGTTTTTGAGATGGGTTCTCACTAAACTGTTGCTCATGCTAGTCTGAACTCATGGGCTCAACTGATCCTCCTGCCTCAGCCCTGAGTGCTGGATACAGGCACGTTTTTTTAAGACTTCAAAGAACAAATAATTTTACATTCTTCAACAGGACACAAAAAAAGATGGAAGATTTCTGAACATGTTCTGGAGAGGCAGCAGGACTCTAGACACCAAAAGGATGATAATGTTACCAAAAAGAAAGAAAGGAAGAAACCATACTTAGGGAAATCCTAAATCAAATATTAGCTAACAGAATTTATTAGTATATTTAGGAATACAATATGACTGACAGCTTACCCTGAGATAATCTGATATTAGTGAAACTATTATTACAAGTTATTGCACTAATAAAGTAAAGCAAGTATCTATATGTGGAGAGCCATTCTCATGCATGACTGGACGACTCCGGGTTTGGGCCTGAGACTTCTGGCTGTGTCGGAATTTTCCTGGCCCTCTCCTGATGAGAGAACCTGTCCGTGTGGGGGTGGTGTGACTGACCACTGACCCCGGGGGCCCAATCACTGACCCTGACCTTGGAGTGCAGTCCCCCCTCAACCTTCATTGGATGGAATTCTCCCCTGAATCTCTTGTTCCCCAATAAAAAGCTACTCCCAGGCATGTTCACTCTCTCTCTCTCCTGCTAGCCCTGAGTAATCCTTGCTGCCCTGCTGGGCGGTTAGAGGAGGGAACCAGAGAGGGGAGCGTCTAGGACCTGGCAATAGAAATCAGGTAACTGAGTCTGTGTGTTTTATTTCGATCTCTTCTAGCTAACTTTTATGCCAAGAACCTCATTAATGAAACCATTGTGCTGGCCGCATGGTGGATCTATAGAAGCTAAAACAAAACAAAACAAAACATTTGACTGCATTCAATACCCTTTCCGTCTTAGTAAATTAGGAGGAAAAAATATTCTTAATCTGTGGTGAACCATCAAATGTAAGGATGAAACAGAAGCATTCTTTTCAGGAACAAGAAAAGAATGTCTGCTATTAGTGATATAATTCGATGTTGTATGGGGATATAGCTCAGTGGTAAAGGCCCTCAGGTTCAATCCCCAGTACCAACAACAACAAAAATAAATAGAGAGCCAGCGGGCATGGTGGCACACACCTATAATCCCAGCGGCTCCGAGGTTCAGGCAGGAGGATCACCAGTTCAAAGCTAGCCTCAGCAAAAGTAAGGCACTAAGCAACTTAGTGAGACCCTGTCTCTAAATAAAATATAAAACAGGGCTGGGGATATGGCTTAGTGGTCGAGTGCCCCTGAGTTCAATCCCTGGTACCTGTCACCCCCAAAACCAAAAAAAGAAAGAGGGATAATGACTATAAAGGAGTAAGGTAAACTTAGTATTTGTAGATGATTACTAAAGATATAGAGTATCCAATAAAATCAAAAGGAAAAACTATTAGAGATGGTAAGAGAGCTCAGAAAGATGGCAAATAAGAATGCTACACATAAATCAGTAACTTTCCATTTGACAGTAATAACTAATTAGAAAATATAAGAGAATCCATTTATAGTAGGATTCACAGAGAACTTTATAGAGAAGACCACAAGACCTATATGAAAGATCTGAATGGAAAGAGATACCATCTTACAAATGGGAACACTCAATATGGTAAAGATAACATTCTTCCCCAAATTAATCTACAAATTCACTATTATTTCAATAAACATACCATTAAAGATTTTTTAAAAATGGAAAGTGTAAAGTTTGTCAA